TGAGGGGAACCATAAGGAGATGTTGATCCTGTGAGCGGAGGTCCCGTCTGGGGTTGTAAGGGGAAATGAGACATTTAATGTATTCTGGGTTATGTTATTGGTTATCGGCTGTTTTAAGGAGAACGTTATCGGTTCTTAAAATAAGTTATCGTGCATCCCTAATGTGAAGTAACAGGAAACTTGAATCAAAGCTAAATAAAAGGCAACAAGCAAGCAACTCTTCTTCAAACTAGGGCCGGGCCATATGGATGAAAAATGTTTCAGGATAGAAGTGTTTCACTGAATCAATTCTGGAAGCTTCTGGAACTTCAATTATCCACGCTCTATCAGACACATTTTATATTCATATTCATCACTTCTTTATCCTGATTTATAGTTATTGTTTTATGGCCCAGCCCTGATTCAAACACAAACAAGATTTAAGATTTTCTAACTTTTCTCCACATTCTGAACATTTCATTCTTCTCTTGGCTGTAAAACCTCTTCTAGATCATTTGGTGAAACTTTTCTCCACCTGTGACAGAAGAACATTAGCTCAGCCTCTGTGAACTCTCATGTGACTTTGAAGATTGGCCTAAGTGTAAAAACATTTCCCACAAGTTTTACAAGACAAGGTCCTCTCTCCTCTGTGGATCTGAATGTGACGTTTAAGATGTGAATTTCGGTTAAAAGATTTTCCGCAAATTTGACAAGAAAATGGTTTTTCACCTGTGTGGACCCTCATGTGTCTGACTAAGTCACTATATCTCAAGGTCTTTTTCCCACAGGTGGGACAACAGTACATCAGTTTCTCAGAGTTCTGGTTCCAGACTCTGTGGACCTTCACATGATGGTAATGTAATAATTTGTTGAAAAATGTTTCTCCACAGATTAGACAAGAAAACAACCTCTCAGATGTTGCTGATAGGCCTGCATGGTTACCATGATGACCCTCTGTGTGAACCATCTTCTCATCTGACCCTGGATCCTGATCCTGGTCCTCAGGTCCGGCACAACTCTGAGAGATGAGCTGCTCCTTGTCTGGTTCTGGTTGACTTTCTTCATGTAAAACAGTCACCAGGACCGGATCAGTCTCCTGCTTCAGRTGGAGCTGATCTTCTTCCTGATTGATGCTGAACTCCTCATCCTCTACTTTGATCTGTGGAGGTTSTGGTTCCTCCTGGTCCTCAAACTGTGGAGGTTGTGGTTCCTCCTGGTCCTCAAACTGTGGAGGTTCTGGTTCCTCTTGGTCCTCAAACTGTGGAGGTTCTGGTTCCTCCTGGTCCTCAAACTGTGGAGGTTCTGGTTCCTCTTGGTCCTCAAACTGTGGAGGTTCTGGTTCTTCCTGGTCCTCAAACTGTGGTGGTTCTGGTTCCTCCTGGTCCAGGCTGGATTTCCTCTCCTGCTTGCAGATCTTCTCGTGGACCAGTTCCTGTTGGAGGTCTGAAAGGACAAAAATACAAAACAAAGAGATTAAATATGAAACAGAAATGTTCAGACAGTCAGGCTCTTGTTGGCTTTTACCAGTGGTGGATGTAACATTATTGTGCCTTATTTAAAGTACAGTAACAAGCTTTGTTACTGTACTTTAAATAAGGCACATTAATTATAAAAAAGACCRATAGAGCTGATTTGTGATTCAAAACAAATACAGTACAAAGAGGAAAAGTGTGTTACACAAGTTTAAAACAGATAATGCACACTGTCTTTGGGTTTAACCCTCTGAGGTCTGGGGTCTAAACGGCTGTTTTTGACTAACTTTGAATTTACCTCTACATTTTCACTTTAAAAACTATTTACCCTGCCATGTTTGGGATCATTATTTTCAGCACAACCTCAGCTTTATGATTTTAGAGTGTTTGTTTCATTTTGACACAGTTCTTTATCACATTGGACCAAAATTATCACAAAAAAAAATCCGAGTAGAAAAAAATACTGATTTATTCACTATAAAATTCACAAATATATTTAATGAACATTTTCTTTTAACAATAATGAGATTCTCCTTGGGTTGCCACCTTCACGTGGTGGAGGGTTTGAGTGTCCCAATGATCCTAGGAGCTATGTTGTCGGGGGCTTCATGCCCCCAGTAGGGTCACCCAAGGCAAACAGGTCCTAGGTGAGGGATCAGACAAAGTGCAGCCCAAAAACCCCTATGATGAGTACAATAAATGGACTTAAAGTTCCCTCGCCCGGACGTGGGTCACCGGGGCCCCACTCTTGAGCCAGGCCTGGAGGTGGGGCACGTTGGCGAATGCCTGGTGGCCGGGCTTTCACCCATGGAGCCCGGTCGGGCACAGCCYGAAGAGGAGAGGTGGGTCCCTCTTCCCATGGGCTCACTACCTGTGGAAGGGGCTGTAGTGGTCAGGTGCATTGTGTGTTGGGCAGTGGTTGAAGGCGGGGAATGGAAGGCTCTGGAACCAGTCTCCTCGAGAGGCGTTGGACACTCTTCCACTCTGGAGTTGCCCATGCTGAGAGGTGCCGAGCAGGAATGGGCATACTTATTGCCCCCCATCTCGGTGCCTGTACGTTGTAGTTCAACCCGGTGAATGAGAGGGTAGCCTCCCTCCGTCCACGGGTGGGGGGACGGGTCCTGACAGTTGTTTGTGCCTATGCGCCTAACAGTAGTTCAGATTACCCACCCTTTCTGGAGTCCTTGGAGTGGGTGCTGGAAAGCGCTCCTAACAGGGACTCCCTCATTCTGCTGGAGGACTTCAATGTTCACGTGAGTAATGACAGTGAGACCTGGAGAGGTGTGGTTGGGAGGAACACCCCACCCCCGGACCTGAACCTAAGCGGTGTTTTTGTTATTGGACTTCTGTGTTCATCATGGATTGTACATGACAAACGCCATGTTCAAAGATAACAGTGTCCATATGTGCTCTTGGCACCAGGACACCCTAGGCTGCAGCTCGATGATCGACATTGTTGTCGTTTCATCTGATCTGTGGCCGCATGTTTTGGACACTCGGGTGAAGAGAGGGGCGGAGCTGTCAACTGACCACTGCCTGGAGGTGAGTTGGCTCCRTTGGTTGGGGAGGATGCCGGTCAGACCTGGCAGACCCAAACGCATAGTGAGGGTCTGCTGGGAACATCTGTCAGAGTCTTCCGTCAGATGGAGCTTCAACTCACACCTCCGGGGGAACTTCRAACACGTTCTGGGGGAGGTGGGGGACAATGAGTCCGAGTGGGCCATGTTCCGTGCCTCCATTGTCGAGGCGGCTTACCTGAGCTGTGGCCGTAAGGTTGTGGGTGCTTGTCCTGGTGGCAACCCCCGAGCCCGCTGGTGGACACTGGTGRAAAGGGATGCTGTCAGGCTGAGAAGGAATCCTATTGGGTCTTTTTGGCCTGTGGGACTCCGGAAGCAGCCGATAGGTATCGGCAGTCCAAGCGGATTGCAGCTCGGGTGGTCACTGAGGCAAAAACTCGGGCATGGGAGGAGYTCGGAGAGGCCATGGAAAAAGACTTCCGTACAGCTTTGAGGCAAATCTGGTCCGCCATCCGGCGTCTTGKGGGGGAAGCAGTTTGCCACCAACACTTTTTATGGTGGGGATGGTGCGCTGCTGACCTCAACTTGGGACATTGTGGGTCAGTGGGCGGAATACTTCGAAGACCTCCTCAATTCTACCGATACGTCTTCCCATGAGGAAGCAGAGCCTGAGGACCCTGGGTGGGACTCTCCAATCTCTGGTGCCGAGGTCACTGAGGTGGTTAAAAAGCTCCTCGGTGGCAGGGCGAGGGGGTGGATGAGATTCGCCCGGAGTTCCTTAAGGCTCTGGATGTTGTGGAGTTGCCTTGGTTGACGCGACTCTACAATATCGTGTGGACATCGGGGGCAGTTCCCCTGGATTGGCAGACTGGGCTGGTGGTCCCCCTATTTAAAAAKGGGGACCGCAGAGTGTGTTCCAACTATAGGGGGATCACACTTCTGAGCCTCCCTGGTAAGGTCTATTYGGGGGTTCTGGAGAGGARGGTCCGTTGGATAGTCGAATCTCAGATTTAGGAAGAGCAGTGTGGTTTTCATCCTGGTCATGGAACAGCGGACCAGCTCTGTTTTGTGGACTTAGAGAAGGCGTTCGACCGTGTCCCTCAGGGACTCCTGTGGGGGGTACTCCGGGAGTATGGGGTACGAGGCCCATTGATACGGGCTATTAGGTTCCTGTATGACCGGTGCCAGAGCTTGGTCCGCATTGCCGGAAGTAAGTCGGACTCGTTTCCAATGAGTTACAATAGTCGCCAATAGTCTCCACTTCCTTGTTTTCCAGGTACACTGGATTTGATGGTATAGTCAGGTTAAGCTTTAAATATTTGAAAATTCTAATAACAGAACCTAGGATTTTAAGCTTTCCCCACAATTGAGTGAATATTTCTCACCTTCCTTCACTTGCTGGATCATCCTGGTATCCTTTGACTGGAGAAATGCCATAACCTCTGTTTGAGCATCATTTTGCAAAAGAACTGTATGAACAAGAACACATAGGTTAGTGTCACATGCAGTTGCTTTTGCCCCCCATTAATATTTTCTATTTACCATCTTGCAGTAAAACATCCTTATGATCAGCTCTTTCATGTGGCACATCAATTGGTAAACAGGACCCTGCAAATAAAAATTATACATGTAGAGTTGTTTCTTAACTAAGTCAAACATTTTAAAAGTTCAGAACTGAATTTTCATTTCAGTTTGTGAGCAAAACCATTTGAGTTGTATTACAGGAAAACTGAGAACTTTCACCACCACACTCCCATAACCTCTAAAACAAACAGTTCTAACACCACACAAAAAAGGAGAAGAAAAAAAAAAGTCCTGATGCATCTCAGTAATCCAGGTAAAAAAATCAAAGGAAAAAAAATTGTATAGGTCCTCTGGACGGGTTCTTC